CTATAAACTAAAATATTTTTTTCCATGTTTACTTACAAAAAATGTAAGAATATTATAGTTATTGTTATAGGTCAGTGTGTATTTGGAGGTAATAGAAAAATGAGCCAGAATATACCCACACGCACAGACTGCGTAGAGAATTATTGTGTCTTCTAAACTTTAGATACGTAATATTTTTAGTAAAAATGTTTAACCAATTTTATAAAACTGAATTAAAAATTATTGATTTTATAATAACAATAGTGTTAATATATTATATGTAAATAATATGCTGTAGCAGGGGCAGCCGCATCTCGTAAAACATCACCAAAGCCTAACTGCGGTTGCACACCCACCTGCAAAATGTGGCAACTACTGCCCCCCCCCCCCTCTCTCTCTTCACCATAGCAGGAACCTTCAGTAGTGGACAGTTAACGGCTGATATGATGATATAATGAAGTAATATAGATGTAAAATAGAACACTACCTAAAAAAATGTAGTAGCCAAAGTTTTAATTAGATTTTAAGATCCGACCACTATATATTACAATACCTTGGTTAAAAAATTTTGTACTTTGACGCAGGAAATTATATTTCTGATCTTGTTACAGCTTCCATTATATAAAAATTGTTATTTTGCAGAGATAAACTCTACAATTGATCAAGTCAGTAAATAGTGGGTGGTCGAAACAACAAATGGTACTAAACTATGTGCAGACATCAAGTAACAAAGCAATGTAACATGAAAATACTTAATTAAACTAGTACCAAAATCCGATATCAGCAACATCGTGGCGTCACGAAACCCCGAGCCACCTAATAAAGTGAGCAGTCTCACGTTCCTAATTAGATCGTTAATTATAAGCCTTTCATGGGAGCTTTAATTCCTGCATAAATGACTATCAGCGAGGCAGGCTTAATTTTTGACCGGATTCCAGTTACGTGGTTCAGTTTGCTTATTTATATTATGAATCATAGATTATGAAGACTATTCTTTTACATAAAATATGATTATCGCTAGATATAGAATATTTATCTATTTAGAACATATAATCTGCATCAATTTGTTGCATGTCTGATTTCCTTGCGTACAACCTATCATCTATTGTTAGAATTTTCATTTTATGTAACGTTAATTTGTGTTTTTAAGTAGATAAAGATCATCTAGGAGAGTCGTACAAAAGGCTTTTGTTTGATGTTGAAGAATTTGTCAATATCTAATTAAGCTACACGCTTTAGCTATGATTATATTTTTTAATGTCGGCTGTAGACGTCAGCAAATGTATAGTTTTACTAATTTTGCTGATGATTACTCTGTTATGTACCTATATTGATCTTTAAGTATGTTCGAGTGATAAAAACATTTTTCACATATTAAGGAAAAGTAACTCACAAACATATTATCTGGTACAAATGACACGTAACGCCCAAGGACTGAACGCACGAGCAAATAGCTAAGTAATGGCAGTCCCTCACCAGGTGGACTTGAGTCATTACTCTCGCGGTAATCCGCCGAATACACCCTGATTTATCGCGGCCCTACAGACGGACCGCCAAATTTAGCTGTTTTATAAAAAATGGGGCTTAGTTTCTTGAGTTATAAATAATGTTAGAAATCCTCGTTGTAACGTATAATGGGTTTTGGAACTATGACGCAATTTTGAACAGCGTTATCTTGTTACTAGATGGACTGTTAATTTATGTATGTATCGCGTATAGCCTGTTAAGTTGATTGTGTTTTATTGTAAATCAAGCATATAGATACAGATTATTTCCAAATATATAATAAGTATTTGAACTTCGAGAAAAGAATCGGAAATTGGGCATGATAAAATAATAAAATTTTTGACAAGTGTCAATCCAACTCGCATGATATTGAGTACTTTAAAAAAGAATGTTAACTGAGCAAAGTTGTCTTCTCGAAGCTTGATGTAAGTCATTGCTATTTATTATGTACCTACTAGCTTTTATTCGCAACTTCGGCCTTATGACTGGGATAAAAAGAAGCATGTTCTTCTCCATTCCATATAGTACCTGTATACTAAATTTCATGGTTATTGGGTTAATAATTCAAGAGACGAAGAGATAAAAAATAAACAACATACATCATTCAAATTTGTAATACGAGTATTAATAATGTTTTCTAAACAACGAACGGATACACGGATAAACGGACACAAAATATTATTTAATTTTATTTGCAGTCGATATATATCTTATATATTATCGCCTAGGATTTATTATTATTATATTATATATTAAATAAAAAAAATAGAGATCCGTACAAAAATTACAATATGTAATATGTTCCAAAGTATAAAAAATTTGTATATTAAAGCTATTATAAAATATTATTTTTATCTTTTTATCTATCTATCTGTGAAGCCGGGGTTGATTATAGTATAATATATTGTAAGAAAACAATATCTAAATCAAGGTACGTATGTATCAATATTATAAAGGAGAATATTCTGCAGTGAAAGAATTGAACCCCACATCCCGTGGCGGCTCGCATGCAAACTTCCTGTTTGGCACGACACCATGGCTACTTTCCTCAATACCGACTCTGTGTTATACCTACTAGTGATGTGCTAGATTGCATTTACGATCCGATCAGAATTACAGTGCATATCCAATCTCTATATCTGCAAAATTGAACCGTTGATGTAGTGTGCGTAGTGGCTTTTGTCAAAATTGCTCCATTTGTGTAAATTAGACTAAGTAACCCTGTTCACTAGGCATCAGTAATATGGATACCAAATGACATCTATATATTGGGTTCCTTTGGACATTGATAGCGGAAAAAAGGTCATTACCCATTTCAATATTGGCCATATTCGTTAGATATCTAATTTCGAACATGTTAAAAACCTGTTCTCCAATATTAGGTATGTTTTGGATAACAGACTTTTATCATATTAATTATTCAGTATATAGATGTTTTAACTAAAATATATAGATATTGCTATATATTACCTAGTGTTTGTAATTTTATTAGCGTTATTTTAGGTAAAATCTCAAATCTCATTTGCCTATCATTGATGAAATGAAATACATGATAATGTATGTCATGTAATTTATTTATTGTATATACAGAACTGTTTAGTTTTAAAGATTGTTTAATTATAATTTTATATTCTGTTACAACTAGTTGTTTCCTGCGGCTTTACACTCACAGTAAGTATCAAGTTTTCTATTTTTTTTAAATTAAAAAAAAAAATTAAAAATTGTATTTAAAAAAAATCTCGTCTCTATGAAATAAGCCTATATAGCTTATTTCATAAAGACGAGATTTCACTTTTAATAGCAAATTTTACTTTTATAGACTTAGTAATTTTAATTTTGCGTTGGTAGTAAATCTGAACAAACAATTTTATAAATATAGGTAACATCGATAGATAATTTTCCCATCACTAATACCTATATACGTGTTTATTTAGGTACATATAGACGTATTCATGCCAACTCGTTTTTCGAACAAGCAAGCCACTTCATTACGCCCCGAACGAGGAACGATCATAAATTTGCCATCATTGGCAAATACGAGACAAGATAAGACGAAACGAGCCTCTCTCGCGGATCTGGCGACCTCTGGTGACCACCTTTAATGTGAAATGATAGATTAATAATGCAAACTAGGAACTATATTATAGATTTTAATAAAAATTTAAACATACGTATAATTATCCTGATTGTATAATTATGACACTTTGATATCCAATAGTTATTTCAATTAAAAAATTTATTAGTTGAATTTTACTAATTTGATTAAAGATGTTTCCGTGACAATTTCAAAAAAATTTTATACTTTTGTATTGAAACAATCTTATTTCAATAACCTATTTCCTGATATACCTTGATTGACTGGTATAGTCGATCGGTATACCCCGGTCACGTGGACGAGGATGCAAGTAAAAACTATTAGTTTTTTTAATACCCAGATACATTAGATTTTGTCTGTTTTATTTTGATCGTTACTGTTAGTTTTTATTTAATATTTTGAATTAATTTGAACAATTATATATATTATCTACTAGTTGTTATTAAAACATATAAATAGTAGATCTAAAATATTGAAATGAGTTTTCAAGATGTTTGCATTGAAAACACACGAAAGCCTTTACAGATTTTACAGTTGCTACCTATATAGATTACTAAGTGTTGCCCGCAGTTTTGCATGCGTGGTCTAGTGTATTCTTTTCGTCTTTATATTGAAATGTTCAAAAATTCTTTTTTCGCGGATATTTACGTTACGAAATAAAATATGTCCAAATTTCAGCTTTCCATACTTTAGTGGTTTTGGTTGTGCGTTAATAATCAGTCAGTAAGTTTACAGGTTACAGAGGAATAATACCTGAGTCCTCAAGAATGGCAACGCATGGGGAGTATCATGAGCGAAACGGTATATTCTGTTATGTCCACGGTAGTGCTCATGTCTATAGGCGTCGGTTACCACTTTCCATCAGGTGAGCCGTCAGCTTGTTTGTCCTTCTTTCTAAGTTGCATAAAAAAAGGACAAATGATTTTATAAGTTAATATATACAAATACATCATATTTTTCTTAAATTCATTTTAGAATAAAATTTACTGACAGCGCCAGTTTTGAAATTTACCAAAGATTATTATTTATATTTATATTATTAATAATGAAAAAAAAAATTGTTATTATTTTAAAATCTATTTGATATACGGCCTTATAAATTATAACAATTTAATTATAATTAAATTGGAGTTAATTTATATGTTCTAATATGAAATAGTAAAATATTGTTGTCAAAAATTTACCAAAACATCGTTTAACAAAATGAAAATAATGAATTTTATGACAAAGCAGTCACAATTTTGAATTTTAAAATATGGTAATTTTGATTTCATTAGTCTTGATGACTCTGTATTATAATAATATATCTATACGAGTATACTTATAATGTATGCCAACCTCAAATGTTCTTTTTAATCTAGTAAACTAACTAATATAAGACGAGGGTTCCAAATTGGAGAATGAAAGTAAAAGCAGATAATACTGTAACAGAATTTTATTTAATGCAGATCCATTTCGCACTATAGCCGACGTTGTACAAAAAATTATAATATCGCTTTCCATTCATATGATAGGTAGATAGGTAATAATAATAATTACACAACTTTTCACACAATTACAATCATTAAACACAAACATTTAAATCATTTTCTACACTAGAATCCCGCGATTTCATTTAAGTATTCCTTCATTTATTACTATTTAATATTAATTAATTATGTTACATTACAGTAAATTGGGCCTACCTAGTGTATTTACGTATGACAAATGCTTCGATAAAAGGACAAATTTACGTTTAATATTCGTGAGCACGCATTAAAGGAAATTAATTAAAAACCAATTGTTTCGTACAAATTAGTGTTACCATAACCCATGGCTAATAATACAGTGTTTGTAAAACAAGTGAACTAATTTTGAATTCCGAAAATATACAATAAAAATTATTTCGATAGGAAGCTATATATAGATATAAATAAGTAGTTTATAATAGGTATATTTACAATATATAACAAAGAGAAAATTTAGACAAAGATTCTTTCAAATGAACAAAATATTGATAATAAATTAAGCGACATAAAACAAGGAACTACAAGAGGTATGAGTGAGTGATGACCTATTTAAGGTTAGTACAAAATAATTTGGCACTCTCAAGATAAATAAAAAAGTGATTGAAAGAATCTTAGCCAAATTTTAATTTCTACATTACACAGGAAACAAGTTACGTATATGTTTATAGGAATCCAAAAATATTACCACTACTTGTATCTTAAAATAAATTACATTATTACTTAATTTAATTAACTATTCGTATACTGGGCACAACTAGTTTGATTCGTGTCATTTTTTAAGTGACTATAGGTAAACTATTTGTCTAAGAATAAGTTAAGCTATCGACTAATAAATGGAATATTTTTCATACTAAAGCTTTTGTAGTTACGTATTTAGGATCGCTGGCGTGTCGCAGTGTAACAAAAATAATTTATTCGAATAATGTTATGGAACCTGCCAAAAACAAGATAACTCAATTTATGAGATCTTAAAGTAATAAATAACATAATTTTAACTAAAAATTCGATGTTACATTAACAAAAAGGTAAACAAAAAATCTTAAAATATTCACTTTGCTCATGCAACATCCAGCACAAAATTATATTTTAAAGTCTGTAACTGGCATTATTATAAAGTATTTGTGTACGTATTCGTCTAGGCTCATAAAGACTAGCTTCTAGAGCCGTTAAACCTCTTTATTAAAAAAATTGTGTACGTATACAGACGTTGTACATCAGATTTTTATTACAATTACATTTACACTAAACTTATTATTTACATTACATATAATTATATTATTTTAACACGTTCAATGCTTGCTATTAGTAGAGTTTGAGCTATCGTGAAATACTGACGATGTTAGATACAAATAAATTCTTATAAGGTTTATTAGAACAACACAGTGCCCATAAAAATGATGAACTATATCGAGATCAAAAATTAATACGTATTAATTTAATCAATGATTACTGGTTAAGATGATCTTCTCCGTACAGATACATTTCTAATCGTTTAAGTAGGTAAATAATATTTTCAAATATTGAGCAATTATACTTAATATTCGCTCATACTACGGCAATGAACGTGTTAATACTAAATCGTGTTTTGAACATTTTTTCATCCCACTATCACCATTATTTATATTAACCAGAATCTATTACGCGATTTTTACCTAATAATTTCTTGTAACGTAAAATAATTCATGATATATTATTATAAATATGTAAATCTTCCGTAATAGTGGAATGGAAGACTTGAACAGTCATGCAAACTAAAGTGTGTAATAAAATGCCTACACATGAGCGAGTAACTATAAAGAGCTGTAAAACCCACCGTCGATTCGACTCCGGGTTTTTGTAGATAAAGTACGATTTCAAGTGAGCGATAGTGGGGCACGATTCGCACGATAAATAAAAACACAATTCCATTTGAAGCTCGGAGCTGCGGCGCGGCGGCCGTGTCCCGTGTACCTCAGCAGGCGTTCAAGATTTATACCGGGAGATGCGGAACAATATATCACGGAACCGAACACGGGAACTCGACCTATGCCTAGTGCAGAATAGCCACCGTACCGATGGAACATGATAGCAGATCAGTTCGACAGATAGCGGCACTCTCGTAACTAACACTCGATAACTGTTCGATCTCTTTCGAAAACAAAGGTTGGTGAAACCTTCAACGATTATTTCGCAATCCTTTACACCACCCAATAATACATTAATCAATATTAATAGACACATCTATTTAATATCTCTACATATTTATTCATAAGGTAAGGTAAACGATAAATAAGCGGACACCAAACCGCGATTTTTCATCCGAGCTTCATATAATTTATAGTCGACGATGATATCGCGACTGGTTCTTTTATTCGTGAAATAGTGATACGCGGAGTGTGCTCGGTAAGCGTTACTAACGGGAAATTTTGACAATAAATCTCCGACAGTCGATTGCCTAAGCGGTTGTGTGGGCGGGCAGAAAAATGTATTCTATAGTTGAATTTTGATATCTTGATCGTGTGACATGCGTTTTAAAATATCATAGATTTAAAAATTAAAATGTATGTAAGGAGCTGAGGTACGAGGCGAAGCGTGCTGTAGAATTCTGGACTAACATCTTCCCTAACACCTACCAAAGTATCGACAACGTTTTACACGACGACCACCTGAAACAAAAGGAAAAGCGAAATTAATTAAAATGCCAATAATAAAAAGAAAAGGAAAAATGCAAACAGCGTGTTTTAGGGCAAATCATTTAACACTGAAGCGATAACAGTCAAGTGCACATAAAATGTTGGTGATTAAAAACATGTGTGGTACCAGTAAAACATGTCATGCTTATTCTAACATGAATATATGAATCATTTTGCATAAATTGACGTTATAAACATTAACAACGTATCTAGTTAAATCTCTAAACAAATAGCAATATATCATCGTCTCGAAATACGTCCTTATAAACAAGGGCGGACTTAAAATGCAAATAATTTCGCGCAAGCCCCATGGGTATGTTAAAACAAACTCAGCATTCTAACAGCTTTCCATTATTTATCGCTTACGCTCACGGAAAGGCGATTTTTTCAGTTAAAGTTAATTTCTAGCGTAATGCGTATTTGATAAAAGGCTGTATCTCTGGCAGGCAGGCTCCGACGAGCCCGGTCTGAAATTAAGATGTAACATGATGCGAGAACGAGCAAGAGCCGCTAGATTTATTGCTATACCACTTTGCATATGCTGATTTACAAAGACGATGGACACTATACAGAGTGGTTGCGTGTGAGTCAATAATAAACCATGTATGGCAAACGACTTAATTCTATCGATGAACTTGTTTAATTATTAATATAAAATATCATCAACATAGCAATGAAACTTTTCTATATATTCGTTAGTGTCCAGCATATTTATGTATAAAATAATATTTCTGGTTAACTTGAACTAATTTTATTATTAGTCAATTGCTTAATTATTTGATATTACTTTTAAAAACCCATCTCATTGCAAAAAGATGTTATAAGCTATTGCAATGCTAAGATTAATATTAATAATATAGTTTTTGAGAGTGCTTGTGTAAAGACTCAAATAAAATTTAACGGAATTTTATGGTTAGTATTTTTTTCATTCAAAAATTTTTGCACTAATTCATAAATAGATTCGAAAGATACGGTATGTATTTCTACAAATTATTATATCGCTAATATGTTCCACAGTATTGTCAAATTGTTTAATAAGCTGGTAGACCATCACATCCAAGTATAGCAAAATGACGTAATGTCCTATTACTACTAAAGTAATATTATTAAACTACTTACTTTAAAAAGAAATATATTTATAATTTGCCTGTAGTTTTTGTATATATCGGATAGGGGTATACCCATGCTGGTCTCGTATTAATATTGTTACGTTTGAAGAATTTGCTTTTTTTTCTTTTTTGCAGAGAAAAATTGTAAATTCATTAACGAATATAGTTGAAATCTATATAGAATATTGTAGTGATAGTCCATCTTAAAGATTTTATTTTTTGCTAGCGATCCAGGGCTGAATTCGCACGGGTAGGTAAAATTTTCGAAAATAATACATAGCCTATATTACTTTTTGTAAATAAATTAACAATCAAATATTTTCTTTTTTATAATATTTTTATAGATTTAATAAAGCATAAACATAACTTTAGCATAAAAATAATGTTCGATGGTAATCGCAGCTCATGGCAGATATTTCATTGCTGATGTGGCCCATTCGCGACGAGGCGAGCGCGAGCGGGATGACTGTCTGGCGATCCGTAGTCAGCGGAAAGAAACATAACAGAATCGCTCACGCTTGCCTTGCCTTGCATTATTTTCCCATAGTTTATGATGTTTCTTTTTCAAAACTGTACATAATTGTTTAATTACTGTTTATTTAAAATATATTTGTTTTTAAAATATGTTATTAACTTCCTAATAATTGTTTTACATATCTACTCATTTATTACATGTAACCAACTAAATTAGAAGTAAATGCACAACTGAAATAGTAAGTACACATTTTATATATATTCAAAAAGTCAAAGTGCAAAACGTACTGCTCGGGCGGGAAACTAATAAAGAAGAAGGACGCCAACCGAATAATTGATACGATTATGTGTTACCACTACAGAGTACAGACAATATAAGGGTAGCTACAAACTTACTAAGCAACTTTATTAAGTAGATGGAAAGAGAAATAAAAAAGAAAGAAAACTATTTAGACAAACTTCGTATTGCGGTAGTTAATCATCAACTCCATAATATTCCTCGAAGAGCTACAGTAAATTAATTACTATTGAGGTGGTCAATTAAGGTTTTATTTCTAGTATTTATTTATCTTTTAGTTTTTTCCACGATTTCTTTAGCATGAGCAGAATAAAAGTAACCTATATACCTATCTATCTGTCCAGTTCATAAAGTACATTTCGCCAAATTTCTCAACAATATAAACAAATTTAGGTACAAACTTTGCCATTACAAGCTAGACTAAACTAACAAGCTGAAATTTTAAGTAACAATGAATCCCAAATAATCCAATATTATCAAGAATTTAAAGTGGATATAGTGTAAAAATAGTTTCATCTGTAACTTAGCAACTTAACGCGTAGGTCAATGAACTGTCTACTAACATCCTGAATTCCTTTCTATTTGCAGCTGGCCAGTATGAACACAGCACCAAGAACAATGGAAGAAGGGCGGCCAGCGCTCCGTCAAGTGCGAGCGGCAATAAATCGTCCAGGACGCGCAATTTGTTGAATTACAGCATGCGCCAGCCAGCCACCGGGCCGACGCGAAATTAGCTCCCACAGAGATAAATTGACGGCGGGCCGCTAAATAAATTATTTGGGAAAACCGAGAAAAAACGGGCGTCTTCCCTTGATAAGGGTTGCGAGCGCTCCACCGTGGAAATAATGAATATCGACCGGTGTTGCGTAACTTTTCAAAGTATTGTCCGTTATTGTGTTAAGTTGTGAATTTTGTTATTATTGTTTAAATATACTATAGGTATATTCATAACACATTCATTAAAAAATAAGCATTGGTAATATGGATACCGATCGAATATTTATAGATTGAGTTTTTCTGGCGGATTGATGGCGGAAAAAAGTTATCACCCATTTCAATGTCGCTCATATCGGTCGGATATCTAATTTCGAACATGTTAAAAGTCTGTTAACCAATATTATTATTTGGACAACAAATTTTTAACATATCCGTTATTGAACCAGTACATAGCTATTGTAGCTAATATATATTGATATTGCTACACATTACCCACCCCTTTGAGAAATATTCTCTACTGAAAATCCCAAATACAAACACGCATTATCGATGTCGACTGTTAATCATTACTCAAGTTAGATTAGGAAATTGAAGCTGGTGTTAAACACCCATATTTTTCCGAAGATAAAAGAATTTTTATTCATATTTGGGATGGCAAACAAGCTTATTGGAAAATGGCAATTTTTTCCTGTAGACTTGAATAACACAATTACATACTGTAATGGCTATGGTTCTCTCTTATCATTACTGAAGAGCAAATTATTATGCCTACATACCAATGCAAACACCTTTACTTGATGACAAAAACACGAGAGAACTGAGCAGATGACTTTTATACAAAGCCTCCCTTTGGTGATAGTAATCTGTATACACTGGGAAGCTAACCTATCGCTACATAGATAAATAACGTTACGTCGACGTTTGTAGATAGTTGATGAATAAATTTAATATAAATCGTTAAATAAAAATTTGCAATTCTTAAGATTGCAAATCGTATGGTCCGCGCATAGAGCCTAATTGCGACTGCCAACCCGCCTGCCAAGCGTGGCTTCTACTGGCAAAGCTCCCCTACAAGCGAAGGCCTATGTTCAGCAGTGGACAGTTGACGGCTGATACAATAATAATAATTCTTAAGAAGTATAGCCTTCAAAGGCTTCTTCAAACTACTTACAAGGACATACGATTCCTTCCCTTTTTTGCAGTTGGTCCATGGTCCACACGCGATCCCATTAATAAGCACAAGTCAATCTGATATTCATGGTAACATAATTAAACAGACACTACATCAAGGCCCACTCAGACTTGATTATAATAAAGTTAAGCGGACAATTATCACTTAATACCATTAGTTCACCTGACCACTGTTTCTCACGGCAATAAAGTGGCAGTTAATGAGTTAAACTTCAATTACTTTTACACACTTGAGTTAATTTTCTAAGAACGAGATTATACGAGATACGGCCAAAACAGTGTTATATTTTTCTAAGAATTATTTATTTTCTTTTATTGTAAGTAAAAGAATCTGTGAAAAACATTTGGAATAAGGTGTTGAAAACTATAAAAATGGTAAGTTCATAAAATTCTCATTAACCTAAAAAAAATACCTATATAAATGGTTAAAAATGAACATAAGTTTTCTAAATATAAAAATAATACAATCAGAGCATAATTCATCCAATTTATTTATATATGTTTATTTATATATGTTTACAAAACTGATAAGAAAATTTTGTCACATATGACTAGATCTTGATAATATATAAGAATCATATTCGACTCCATTCTTGTTTTGTTTTGTGATAAATTAGTATTACATTTTTTAAACAAAATTTGGAACTTAAATTAGAAAATAAAATAAGAAAATAATGAATTAATAATGTAATTTTTGTATGGATTGATATTAAAAACTAAGATTTAGTTTTTAATATCAATGTTTAAATACTCATATCTAAGACATCGAAAATAAAATTAAAACTATGTACCAATTTCACCCAAATAATCACAGTTTAGCCAAACAGACTCATTTATCTATCAAAGTGGAAAAGACCTGTAACCACAATGCTATAACATTTTGTACAGACACCTGATTATATATATTAAAAAATAATAACATTATGAGTTTGTTCTATTGACCTTTCTGATGGATGATTTAGTATATTTATATTTCATCGCAAATGAATAATATTACATAGAATGTATATTTTTATACTACTATACATCAGTCTTGAAAGGGTTTTACCCTTTCTTTCAACAGGATTAATCTTAGTTGTATATTCGAGATTTAGCTGGCAATAAGAAAGATGCATAGGTGGGCTTACGGAGGGGCGAGAGTGGCAAATTGTCTCAGATCCCCCTCACTTGGTATTGGTATAAGA